TCCTCCCTCAGGTCCCCAAAACCCCACACACCTACACCCTGCCCCCACAACTCACCACATAATACACAGCCCTCCAACATCCCCTATAGCCCCCCAGTCACATCCCCTCACAAACCCCCCTACACACCCTCGCACCCCACCACACACACAATATACAAGACTAAAAATATATTTTTGAATTATAATACAATCACCTCCATATATACAACACAAACACAAATCATGACAAATATTCTTCATAATAAAATTAAAATATGTTATTGTAGTGTTTGACTTTCAGTGTATGATTTGGGTTTTTTTCTTGTTCTGAGATGGCAAATCCTCCCCCCGCCACCCACAAAGGAGTATTTCCAGGCACCAAGGGGAGGGACTTCTGGTGGCAAAGCTCAGAGGTTAGGGAGTGGGGCTTCCAGTCCCAAGATGCTGATGAGGGAACAGGACAACTGTGAGGGAAAGGGGCTACCCATGCAGCCCTCAAGAGCTCATCAAATCTCATTAAGCAGCCCTCCACCTGAAATAAATTTCCCACCTCTGGAATAATCACTTCCCTTGACCTACTGACCACACCTGCCAAAGCAGCCCAGTACGCCATTAGCTTTCTTTGCAACAAGGACACACCGCTGGCTTATATTCAGCTTATTGTCCATTGTAACCCCCAGATCCTTTTCTGCAGAGCTGCTGCCCAACCATCCAGCCCCCAGCCTGTACCGGTGCATGGGATTGTTCCATCCAAAGTGCAGGACTTTGCACTTGGCCTTGTTGAACCTCATGGGATTACTTTTGGCCCAATTCTCTAATTTGTCGAGGCCGCTCTGACTCCTAGCCCTACCCTCCAGCCTACCTACAACTCCCCCCAGCTTGGCATCAGCTGCAAACTTGCTGAGTGTGTATTCTATGCCATCTTCCATGTTGCTGAGGAAGACACAGGGCAAAACTGGTCCCAGGACTGACCCCTGGGGCACTCCACTTGATACCAGCTGCCAAATAGACATTGAGCCATTGGTTACTACTCTCTGAGCCCAATGGTCCAGGCCATTTTCTATCCACCTTATAGTCCATTCAGCCAGTCTGTACTTCCATAGCTTGCCTGTGAGAATGTTGTGGAAGATCATATCAAAAGCCTTGCTAAGGTGCACTGCATTCACCGGTCACCCCACATCCACACAGCCAGTCACTTCATCCTAGAAGGCAACCAGGTTTGTCAGGCATGACTTGCCCTTGGTGAATCCATGCTGACTGTTTCTAATTGCCCTCTTCGTCAAGTGCTTAGAAATGGATCCCTTGAGGATCTGGTCCATTTTTCCAGGGACTGAAGTGAGTGAAGCTGAGTTGGTCTGTAATTCCCTGGATCCTCCTTTTTCCCTTTCTTAAATATGGGCACTGTTCCTGCCCTTTTCCAATCATCTGGGACCTCTCCTGATCACCATGAGTTTTCAAAGATGATGGCCAGTGGCTCTGCAATCATATCAGCCAACTCCTTCAGCACCCTCAGTTGCATCCCATCTGGCGCCATGGATTTGTACATATCCAGCTTTTCTAAATAGTCCTGTTCTTTCACCGAGGGCCCCTCACCTCCTCCCCAAACTGTGCTGCCCGATGCAGTAGTCTGGGACCTGACCTTGCCTATGAAGAATGAGGTGAAGAAGGCATTGAGCACTTCAGTCTTTTCTGCATCCTCTGTCACAAGGTTGCCTCACCTATTTAGTAAGGGACCCACACTTTCCCTGATCCTCCTCATGCTACCAACATACTTGTAGAAACCCTTCTTGTTACTCTTCACATCCTTGCTAGCTGCAACTCCAATTGCTCTTTGGCCTTCCTGACTTTATCCCTCCATGCCCAAGCAATGCTCTTATATTCTTCCGTAGTTATTTGTCCAAGTTTCCATTTCTTGTAAGCTTCCTTTCTGTGATTTAGTTTATTGAAGAGCTCCCTGCTAAGCCAAGCTGGTCTGCTGCCATATTTGCTAGTCTTCCTGTGCATCAGGATGGTTTGTTCCTGCACTCTCAGTAAAGCTTTTTAAAGTACAGCCAGCTTTCCTGGACTTCTTTCCCCCCTAGTCTGGCTTCCCAGGGGATCCTGCCCATGACTTCCCTTTGCGAGTTTGTCTGCTTTTCTGAAGCCAGGGTCCTTATTCTGCTGCTCTCCATCCTTCCTTTTCTCAGGATCCTGAACTCAATCATCTCATGGTCACTGCTGCCTAAGTTCCCATCCACTATACATTCCCCACCAATTCATCTGTTTGTAAGCAGCAGGTCAAGAAAAGCATAGCCCCTAGTTGTCCACTCCAGCACTTGCACCAGGAAGCTGTCCCCAACACACTCCAAAAACCTCCAGGGGCAGGCAATTATTTTGGGCAGAGGGCCACTTACTGAGTTTTGGCAAGGCATTGAGGGCCACATAATAGGCAGCCCAGGGCAGATGAACATTAATTTTCTAAATTTAAGGGCCCTGCAAGCTAGATAGAATGGCCTGGTGGCATTTTGCCCACCCCGTCCTAGACTGTCTGTGCACTGCTGTATTGGCCTCCCAGTCAATGTCAGCATGATTGAAGTCCCCAGTGAGAACCAGTGCCTGTGAGGGGGAAAGTTGCATTAGCTGTTTGAAGAAAGCCCATCCATCACCACCTCCTGGTCTGGTAGTCTATAGCAGATCCTCACCGTGACATCACGTATTTGTGTGCCTATAAAAATACAATAGAATAAACGTATCTCAATATTTTGGCTAGGTACAGACATTAAAAAAAAACAGAGGCAGAATCTATTTTATGTTATGTGGTTTTCTGTAAGTGGCATAGTTTAGATCAGTAGTGAATCGAACACATATTTGCCCTATATGGGGGGTGGAGGGGCAAATCTTAGACCATGTTCCACCATTTTTTAAATCAGTCAGTCTGCACACCAAACTTCTGTTCTGTTATGGTTATAGACCAGTTTTGTGTACTGAACTTCTATACCATTACAGGTATAGACTGGCTTCCAATCACTTAAAAGTATAAAATTTGTACCTGGCCTTAGAGTGCTTTATTTTAAATATAAATTCTTACCCATGTCTGAGGAACTAAGGGGTGAGGTGAGTAGGGTGTTTCTATATATTTCCCTAAAACTTATTTGAGTCCCTAAATGATGACTTACAATAGTTAACTTTCAAAAATGGGAGTTTTAGGCTATGTTCTTCCCTCACCAGGTTTTTCAACCCAAGAAATTCTTTTTATTGACAATTTCACTTTTTCTTGTTAACTGTTATTTACACTTATGTTATTTAAAACACATGCAACTCATTTGCCCTGGACATGTGGTAGCTTTAAATTTAGGGGTTTAACACTAACTATAGTAAGAAAGTTTGGTTGTCAGTAAATAGCTTGCAGATCAGAAAAAAAAAAAAAAAAAAAAATTTTGGATTGGCACTATGCTCAACTGCAGAAAGTTTTACACTGTGCTGTTCCTATTCCAGGGGTTTCCCTACTTACCTCACACACTGATACAACCTTAACTGCACTATGTACTATGCTGCTCCCCCCCCCCTCACCCCAGCCTTATCCCCACCATCTCTGGTTTTGCATCTCAGCATGGACCTCCATCCACCACTTCTCCCTTAGGTCTCTTTTGGGCACATCACCACTCTCCCTGTATCTTTGAGGCAAACAGGTGCTGGAGGAAGGGGATGGCCAAAGGCAGGCAGCAGAACATGGCTGAAGAGAAGGGAAGGCACTACCTACTATGAGCCACAAAGCCCTGGCAGGTTCTCCCCTTCAAGTTGCAGTGCCGCCATTCGGACACCAGGTGGCACTTCTCTGCTGCATCTGTCCAGCAAGCTCTCTTTTCCTTTTTAAGAACTTTTTTTCTTTTTTTGCATTCTTCCTAGTTTCTGATTTCATCTGTGTGCCAGAGTCAGCTCACTTCAGACACAGAGTTCAATGTTCAAACATGAAA